AGAACAAGCAAGGCAGCCCCACACTGGTCTGATGATCAAAGAGAGACAAGAAAGGCGAGGCTCACCGAGCCAACCCTTCAGTTAATCCCACTTGTGTTTATCGGCCAGGCTGGCACAATTAATTATCTCACATATCTATAAATTATCAAGCACAATATAATGTATAGTTGTGAACTCTTCACTCTAAGCTAAGATTGGCCTTTTGCCAATCATTTATTTACTTTTGTGCTCCTTCTTAATCCCCTTAATCCCTGGAAGGGCGGGGACCATCTTCTATCAAGCATTCTCCTGAGTTTTGTGTTTATCATTCCTTTGCTTAAAATCACAGATTAATTTTTTCCCTCATTTTTATTGTTTGCTTTCCTTTACAAAAATGGCATTTGGGACTTGACTTAAAAATCTACATTATGTTCCCAAGATACAACCTTGTTATTATAGGTTTTGATTCATTTTATTCTTCTTGTATAAGGATATTACAGTTTAGTTTTCCTGTGAAAGACATTTGGTTTGTTTCTATTATTTTTTTGCTATTAAAAATCAAATTGTTAAGCATACTCTTATAGCTTCCTTACACAAATATGTAAGACTGACCTAAGTGTATTTATTCAGGTGTGGAGTTGTTGAATTATTAGATGTGTGAATATTCACTTTTACAAAATGGTGCCAAACTTCTTTTCTAAGTGATTATACTAGTTTCCACTCCTGTCAATAATGTGTACAAATTTCCACAACGCACATAATCTCCATAATTTACTATTGCCAGATTTATCTAGTCAGTTTACTTCATGAAAAGCATTAGCTCCTGTGGTTGGTTTGCTATTTCTAACATTAATAAGGCTGAGCACATTTTCATGCTATAGCATGGTACTCCCACTTGCACGTAAGTATTTTTTTAGCTAACATTCCTTTTTGATGCATATTGTATCAAGCACCAGAATTTCCACCATCTACATTTCCTCCTGAAAGACACATTACTTTGAATGCAGATTACAGATGTTTTTACATTTACTACATTTAAACCTAACATCTTACTTCTGTGCAGGAGCCCTGGGGTCATAGTGGTTACACACTATTTGGGCTGTTTAAGGAAAGGATGGCAGTGAAAAACCACCAGCCACTCCTTGGGAGAAAGATGGAGGTTCCTACTCATGTAAAGTCTCAGAAATCCACAGAGGCAGTTCTACTTTGTCTTATAGGGTAACTGTGTGGGAACCGACTCAATTGCAGTGAGTTGAGTTTTTCTTATTTCTGGTGCAAGGAAAAAAGAGATACCAAATTTCAAATATAATTTACAGACATTTATTAAGTCTTAACTGTGACAAACACAATTCATCTAGATGAGGGAGACCATAGGCACAAGAGCATACAAGTGTCCAAAGCTTTGCAAAGAACTGGTGGCTCAAAGGACATAGAAAGTCAAAGGGAACTGTCACAAAGTTGGCAGCAGAACAATAAATCACAGTTGCAGCCGGGGCTCTAGGTACAATAATGGGACCATAATTGGGACACATACATTATGGTATACAAAAAACTTGGAAGAGTGGTTCAGAGCCGTCCAACTAAACAAGGACACACTTAGTCAAGACCCCAGAGGTTAAGACTAATCTTTCCTGCCCTTGCTAAGTGGTGGTAATCCACTTTGAAACATACTCTGACAGAAGGCAAAACTATTCGACATGCCACTTAATGGTCACAAAGACATTCAATGGAGGCTTAATGTATAAGGAGACTCAAAAAGGATTTTTGGCTTTCACTGTCATCCTCAGCCCTTCTGAAATTTTAGCACTTAGGATTTAAACTTGAATACACTGCTAAAGGTATTAGAGATAACGTCTAATCAGTAATTCAGGAGCCCTGGTAGTCTAGTGGCAACCAAAAGGTCAGCAGTTGGAAACTACCAGATGCTTCTTGGGAGAAAGAGGAGGCTTTCTACTCCAATAAAGAGTTAACAGTCTCAGAAACCCTCAGGGGCAGTTTTACCCTGTCCTATAGGGATGTTTTGAGTCAGAATAGATTCCATAACAGTGAGTTTATTTAGGTTTTTGGTGAAGTAGGTTTTCAACATACAGTCAATCTTTTCCTTGGATAAGGCTTCCTGTCATTTAGTTCAGTGATTTGTTGCTGTTGTTAGGTGCCAATGGAGTCAGCTCCAATTCATAGCAACCCTATACACAACAGAATGAAACACTACACGGTCCTGCACCATCCTCAAATTGTTCCTAAGCCTGAGCCCATTAAGGCAACCACTGTGTCAATCCATCTTGCAAGGGCCTTCCTCTTTACCACTGCCCCTCCACTTTACCAAACACGATGTCCTTCTCTAGGGACTGGTCTCTCCTGACAATATGTCCAAAATATGTAAGATGAAGTCTTGCCATCCTTTCCTCTAAGGAGCACTCTGGCCATACTTTATACAACACAGATCTGTTTATCCTTTCAGCAGTCCATGGTACTTTCAATATTTTTCTCCAGCACCACAGTTCAAATGCATCAATTCTTCTTCAGTCTTTCTTATTCAATGTGTATGATGCAATGGATAATATCATGGCATGTGTCAGGGGCACCTTAGTCCTCAAAGTAATAACGTTACTCTTCAATATCTGAAAGAGGTTTTGTGGTACAGATTTACCTAATGTAATACATCTTTTGATCTCTTGACTACTGCTTCCATGAACATTAATTGTGGATCCAAGAAAAACCAAAGCCTTGATAATTTCAATCTTTTCTCCATCTGTCATGACGTGATCTATTGGTCTAATTGTGAGGATTTTGGTCTTCCTTATATTGAGTTGTAATCCATACTGAAGGCTGCAATCCTTGATCTTCATCAGCAAGTGCTTCAATTCCTCCTCACGTTTAGCAAGCAGGGCTGTGTCATCTGTATATTTCAGGTTGTTAATAAGCCTTCCTCCAATCCTGATGCCAAACTCTTCTTCATAAAATCAAGCTTCTCTGATGGTTTGCTCAGCATATAGATTGAACAAGTATGATGAGGATACAACCCTGCCACATACCTTTCCTGATTTTAAACCATGCAGTATGTCCTGTTGTGTTCACACAACTGCCTCTTGATCCATGCACAAGTTCCACGTGAGCACAATGAAGTGTTCTGGACTCCCATTCTTCTCACTGTTTATTATAGTCCACACAGTCCAATGGCTTTGCAGTCAATGAAACACATAAACATCTTTCTGGTATTCCCAGCTTTCAACCAAGATCCATTTGACATCAGCAATGATTTCTGTGGCTCTATGTCGTCTTCTGAATCCAGCCTGAACTTCTGGCAATTTCCTGTCAATCTACCACTGTACCTATTGTTGGATAACATTAAGTTCAATGATTTAACCTATTGTAAATATAGTCTCTGATTTACAAGCCATACTTACCAGTCATACCACAGAAAAAGGTGAGTTTTTTAATCTTTTCCTCAGTAATATAGACTACATTAAAAATTGTAGTGGATATTTCATTCTTCTCGTGCTATCCCTTAAAGATATATAAAGATTGGATCTATAAAGATATTGATAATAAAAGGCAAGGCTAATTAAAACTTAATAATAATAATAATAAAAAAGCACCAGCTTACTAGCTTTATGGAATCGAGTCAGCTTGGAGTGGTGGGGACTCCTAGGTAAGCCTGCCTAGACAAATTCTATTTTCTTCTACTTTGTGGTATCTAGAAAACCGGGATATATGCTACTAATCTTTAAACAACCACTCCAAGCAGTGCTGGGTGCCCTGCTTGTGTTTAACGTTTTATATGATTTTCATGCGAGCGTACGAGGAACGTCTTAAAAACAGGGTCCCCAGTTACTTTACAGCTGGCCCCAGCTCTCGGCGCCCAGCGGCTTTTCATGTCCATCCCCGCCACTTCATGTTGAAGATGAAAGAAAGCTGTAATGTGGGCTTCTCTCTCATAGGCTGCAGTTGGATCTCTTCTAACTCCTTCCGGCCATAAAACGAGTGAAAATGCAACCTAGGGAGATTGGGGAAGGAGACTCACGGCTACGTGAATCTCCGTGGTCAGAGCCTCCCAAGATGAATAAGACTTTTTGCCTGGTCTTGGCACAAGGGACTCCATTTTGAATCCAGCACCTTCTTGGTTCTCAGAACTCACCTCTCATGGGCCTCCCTCACATCGGCCTCCCCTCCCCTCGCTGAAAACCAGTTATCCCCGAGAAAGAATGTTCTTTGAAGATATGTTTACTTCACCTGCCCCGGTACCTATAGATAAGATTAACGACCACTTCCCTGCATCCCTTGAAGATGTGTTTATTCCACCCATCCCGGACCTATAGATAAAATTAATGAGCGCTTCCCTTTGAAGTCCCAGTATGCAGCTGTGCTGCCACCAGGGGATATAAAAACGCAGCCAGAAATTCCCCTCGCGGTTTCATTAGCTCAATACATGAGTTATTGAACCCGTCTGCAAGCTTCTCAATAAAGCCTGCTTCTAAAACTTTACCAATTGGACCTTTAATTACGCTTCGCGCCCCCAAAAACCCTTACACTTTTCTTTCTTCACGTCGTATAAAAAGTGAACAATAAGGCTCGACAGTTCGGGTTACGCACCCGGGTGCACGTCTTCTAAGGGCAAACTGTACAAACAGATCTCCAAACAAGTGACACAAGCGAAAACACAAACACGTGCTCCATTCCCCTGCTGAGCACAGAATCTTTGAAACGAAACCGAGAAAAAAAATGTCTTAGCAGTCTGTGTCACACTTTCTACAATATCTTTTCAGCCCACGAGGACCAATTTATTTTCTTAAGATGGAAATATCGATTTGTTTATGCGTTTTATCGTCTTCGAATTTTGAGAGGGGGAGAGGGAGGAAACGATTTTGGGTTTCGAGATTTATTTTACCTTGCCCACCGATTCAAATGTTGAAACTGCGGCGGACCTGGCCGCGAGTACTAGGGAGGCGGAGCGGAGAGATGACGTCACCAGCGCGCGGTGAAGCGACCGCGTCTGCGCAGAGGCTCCGCGTGCGTCTCCGCCGGCTGCGCCACACGGACTCAGCGTGCTCTCTGCAGCCGCCGCCGCTTCTTCCCGTGTCTGCTCGCTGCGCGCCCGGAGCAAAGATGGCTGACGATCTCGGAGACGACTGGTGGGAGCAGCAGCCGGCCGGAGCAGCCCGCAGCCCAGATGCTCCAAGGCTTCTTGGCTTTTAGCAAGTAACGTTGGGACAAATTGATATCACAGATTGTAAATAAGCCTTCCTCCCATCCTGGTGCATCATTCTTCATGTAGTCCAGCTTCTCAGATGATCCGCTCACCATACAGACTAGAAGCATCAGATGGTGAAGGAGGAGGAGGA